GTAAAGACCCTCATGCATGCTCTAATGAATTTTTTCCTACTCCATGGAAAAACAAAGGAAAAACTAAAAACCCAACCCTAACTGAACACAAGACTCGATATGATATCAATACGGTGATATCAATCTTTGCTGTTCCTTCAATATCCTATTCAAACGACCAGACGCATGATTCGTCTTCTCGCCGCCAGGGCACGCCATCGTTGTGATCATCACAACAGGGGGTCGTATTTGACCTCGAGGGAGGGGGGTCGTAAGCGCGGGGACCTTTCTGAAGTGAGGGTGCAGCGATACCCAGATGTCGTTCAGCTTCAATGATGAAAGACTTATCCATGTGAAGAACCTCTGAAGAGACCCACACAAGACAGAAGCAACCTGCCAGCGCAGAAGTGGGGAACGGGCGATGACAGGAAATACGATGGCCTCCCACAACGACGTCATGAATTAATAAAAAAAGATAAAGGATAAAGTCTCCGCCGTTGATCAACCTCTGTGGGATGCGGCACGCATTCTATTTCCATTCAGGGTCGAATGCTATGTGGCCTATACAATGACTTGCGGTGGCCAGCCGATGTACAAGTCAGTGTTTTATCCTCCCAGACGAATCTGGTACCAATTTACCGTCCCCGGAGGGTAGAAGGCTTGGTTGGCCTGGGCGGGAGTCGACCCGGGATTTGAACCCGGCATCGCGCGAGTGGTAAGCGCGCCACTTGTCACTACACCACCTCCGCGCCAATGAATATCCGCCATGAATTAATGAACAGATGAAAATACACTTCCGGACCTTTCGCAGAAGCACATCTACTTGCACGGAGGAAGCCCTTTCTAGAAGTTGCACCTTCCCAATAGCTCTGCGTGAAAGCGCTATGCATGGCGCATTGCAGAGGTGATGCCAATTGGCGCCCAATGAACTATTTCCTGATATCCTTGGCAAAAATGCGTTTTAGAAGCATACCAAAGTCTTTAAGCCAACTGGAGGTTTTATGGCGTCGGAGGGGTTGATTTTTCGTGTCGTGGGGCAACGGAGGATTTTTTTCAAATAGCAGATAGGGATTTTTTACAGAACAAGGCCCTGTATGGAGCTTGTTATGGCTGTTCAAGCCATAGGACTCGTGGATGACCCCCGTGGATCACGCTAGGATCACAACGGAGAAAATTTCTTGAAAAGGGGTGCTTTTTTTGAAATCGCCGCCATCCCAGGTAATATGAGCCTAGCCTAGCTCCAACATTTCCTGCTTCGCTGTCCAAAAGTTTCGCATTTTCAAGGAATTATAAGTGTTCAAGCGACGGTACTTTTCGAGGATTTGGCTTGAAATTGGTTCCAGGTCGTAAAATAGCGCGCTCCAATACCTTTGCATTAGCGCGCTCGACCGCGAACGACTGATATTCAAAAGCTTATCGATAGACCTGGCGAGCGCATTTATTTTTCACCAGCGGCTGGAAGCATCTTGAATTTCCCGCGCGCGTGGCATTTGCGAAACATCAAGGCAGCACTGTGTGCGATGGCCACGATATCTAGAGAAGCCCGTATATGCCCTCAATCACGCCCATATATATAATTCGGCTTGTCTGTTTTGTTTGTTTGTTTGTTTGTTTGTGAGTTTGTAAGTTTGTAAGTTTGTAAGTTTGTCTGTCCGGAAATTCGGTTCGACCTGAAGAACGACTTGGAGAGGTCCAGTCAAGGTGGGGATAGGTAGGGCATGGGACAAGAAATAAAAAGCACACTTGGCCCTATGGCAAGCCCCGCCCACAGTGGGCGGGGCCCCGTCGCCGAAAGTTTGGGGTCCGCCAGAAAATGTGTACAACTCGGCTTCCGGGCCGCTTCAAATGATCGGGGCAAATAAGGGACTATTAGGTTGGAGTACGGATTTCGCCCCCGTATCACTGTGGCAGGTACACCCTAAATGGGCGGGGCGTACTCAAGGTGGGCGGTGCTTCTCGCAAAATTCAGTAACCCGGTTCGCGAGAGTGTTTGGAAGTCGCAAAAAACTCAGTGTAGAATGTAAATATCTGGCGAATATAGGGCACGCTCAAAGTGTGTTGAGACCCGCCCACAGTGGGCGGAGCTTGCCCTAAATCGCAGGGTATTCATTTTAAAAGTTTGTAGCTCGGCTCGGTTCCAGAACCACTGCCAGATACCAAGGAAAAAAGTGAATTTAAGGTCAGGGCAGAGGGTCGTCGGTGAGGATTGTGGGGCAAAAACATTGTGGGCGGAGCCTGCTCCGAGGTGGGCGGAGCCAGACAAAAAGGTCTGTAAAACGGTTCCAGAGCACTCCGAAGACCGGAATAAAGTGAATTCAGGTCAGCAAGGGGTCGCCGATTGAGAAATGTGGGGTAGACATATTGTGGGCGGGGCCAGCCCGAGGTGGGCGGAGCCGGACGAAAATTCTCTAAAACTGTCCCAGAGCACTTTCATTGATCCGGAAAAAAGTGGATTACAGGTGCAGTAGAGGGTCGTGGAGGATTGATTGGGCACAAACATTGTAGGCGGGGCCTGCTCCGAGGTGGGCGGAGTCAGACGAAGAATCTGTAAAATAGCTCAAGAGTACTTCAGACACCGGAAAAAGTGGAGTACAGAACAAAAGGCGGATATCAGTTGAGTCTAGAAATATGTGAAAGAAAATACGCGCGGCGAAGCCGCGCTCGCCCGGCGCAGCCGGGCCGAGCGCGTCTTGCGCCGCGCGGTGCTTTTTTTGTTGGGCACGAAACCATTGTGGGGCTTGGGCCGTATCAGCAAGGAGGGCCGCGCCGGCGTTAGCCGGCGAGCCGAGCGGTAATCTATAATATACACTTCATTGCTGCTGCGACTAAACCACTCAAGCTGACTACATCAGTCTACTAACGTTCTCTAGTGTTTGCATTTCTGTTTTGTTCCTCCATATTCGTTCGGAACAGCGATTTGTTAGGTGAGTATTCACATTTCGCGAAGCGTACTATTTGTGAATGCGTCTTCATTTTTTCCTGCTTTTATTCCCGATCCCATTCTACATTACATTTCCTTGTACCTGTCTTGCATGCACTTTGCACAACGCCTTCATATTAGCACATTGCGTTGGGCCATAGAGAATCATCAGATTTCTCTCGTGGTTTCCAAAGTTATTCGCAAGGAATGTTGCCACGCGAACCCCTTGGAAAACCGCGAGATGTCCTGAGAAGGTGACTGAGCGAAACTCTTGCTCGTACTCCTATGTCTTGTTAATTCCTCATGCTCATAACTGATATTAGATTACGGGAGCTCTTCGAAATTCTTGATTATTATGTGAAAAACTAACAGGATGACCTCACATAAAGGATGAGTGAAATCGCTAGCAAAAGTAGCCAAATACGTCAATAAGGAATGGAATCATAACAACGTAGTGCTAGAGGATCAGAAAGTAAATATGACAATATGACGGCAAATTAATGGCGATTCTACTGCATTTCTGTCGCAGAATTCGGTCTCCACTCGTGTTGCCTTCTGATCCTCTCAGTTGCCTGAGCTCTTCGTGTAGGTCTTGTGTCGGTTTCTTGACTTCTTTCCCTTCCCACGCTGAAATGTTTGGAGTAGGTTATTTTTGCAAAGCAAGCAAGTTTGATTCGATAAAACCTTGTCATTGTGAAACGGAGGCACCTGGTAGAGTTGCATTTTGGTCAGTTGCGGTTTGCCTCCACTTTGAGACATCTCGGGCCGAGCGGCTAAGGAGCTTGATGATGGGGGGTTGTGCAACTCCTGCTGCGAGTTGCATATAGCAGAGGATCTCTTCCAGCTGTTGCATTGCTTCATCTGTATCATCTTTGGCCAGCGCTGTAGCAGCAGCATCTACCACAGCATATGCCTAGAGTAAACTTATACTTCGCCTTTTTCTCACATGTGTCTTCATCTAGAATACTCACACTTCTGATCGCCCCCAATTTCTGATAGCGTGCTTCACGACGCTCTTGTTCTGAGGTCATGGGTGCACTAGTCAACGCTTGACTGTCACGATACCGTTATTTGTGACCTTGTGGCTGAATGTTTCCAGTGGTAGCCTGGCCGGGTTCAGTATCTTCCCGGCATGCCTGTGAGCACAGTAGATGCCACTTCTGTTGTCCAGGCAAGTGCAGCTTCAGGCGTAAGCACAAACTCCACAGTTCAGACAATGTGTGTTTTTCTGAATACATTCGATAACCTGTCACATTGGTAAGAAACAGCAGATCAACAAATGAAATCAATAGAAACATGTGACAATTATCGTGCTGTCACATGTGCATGGCCCTTCATATGTCACTTCGGAGCTTTTCTTCAAGTCTTTGTTATATACTTTCCACTTGTTGTCTTCTATACTGACCACTAAATTAGGGTTTGCTTCATATACAGTATGTTGCATTCTGTGCCGTTTGTGATTTTCTTGCAACCTGTACGCAGAATTTGGCGAAACGACTGCGGTCCTGCAAAGGAAGGATGTTCGGATAAGAATTCCACGCTCGCGTCTCTCAAATATATTTCCCTATATTCCTTTTATTAAGATAATCTGTCATCGAATTCAGATTTTGGAGCGAAGATAGACAAGGAATTTCGGCAAGGCGCCTCTCAAATTTGTCCAAGTCCACTTCTTGCAGCAGTTTTTGAGGATCGCTGCCGACGAGAGTTGTTAGCCTTGTTGGTAATCTTGCGTGTATTTTACTTGGAACAAAATCGTAATCGCTCTGCCTCCCAATTACTGATTTTCTTTCCCATGTCTGCCAGCTGGGACTGCATCAGCGACAGTCGGGTAGGCGCAGTGGGATCTGCTGCGGAAGCGTTTAGCAAGTGCTTCATCTGTGCACTGAGGTGCGTTGTGGAAAAACTGGGGTGATGGGCTTTCTTCCATGCCTAAGCTCTCGACATTCGCAGTTTGTCATAGTTCCCTGAGGCGGAGCTAAAGTTTCGATTCATGGAGATGATTCTTGCGCACAAAAGCAAGACATACCTTCCTGGAAGGCCACGATCTTTGCCATCTGTTGCCATGAGAGTGGCTAGTCTTAAGTTGTACCGTGTAGTATGGAACGTGTCGTCCGAGAAACTCCTTTTGCCGAGCACTTTGTCAACCACTCCAGCATTATTAGTGGTGTTATTATTACTGAATTCTGTACATCTCGAAGACATCAATACTTCGAGAAATTCCGGCGCTATTCAACTATCAGAAACAAAGAATTTAGAATTTCTACCTAAAAGCTAGTCGAAATCGTGTTAGTAAATCTATGGCTTCTGTACTCTCTGTATTCTTTTCTTACCCAGTAGGAGGCCTCTTACCACTCAGATCTTCAGGTATTGAAACGACTTATTCCATCAGGTTGTTCTGTTCAGAGCGAAGTCGCAAAGAGTTCAGATCGTCGTCATCCTTCCATTGGCGCCATGTGGTATTTATTTCTTCACAATATTGTGAAGATCCATCTTTACAACAAATGACAGCTTAGTGGATTTAGTCGGGTCTTCCTTGCGAAGATAGGCGTATAACATTTCCATGGAGCGCTCTGGATAAAATGGCATTAGATAGACAACAAATGGATACCGTTAAAAGAAACATATTAGCAATACCTTCGAGCAGCGTTTTCAAATACGTAATTTGATGGTGTGAGAGTCTCAGCAGAGCCGGATCAAGCTCGTGTCCAACATGGCCAAGACAGCCTCTCGCTACCACCGTCCCATCTGCGTTGAAGTATACCACCAAATGACAAGAGAAGTAGTGTACATCTCTTTTTATTAGCGGCAGTTCTCTGCTTTGCAGTCGATTCATACACACCCGTTAGGTTGCACCTAATTCGGAAATGTGGCCATTTCATGATAAATTACTTTATATCGACCGCAACTCACAGAAATCTTTACTTAGTCGAAGAAACCGAAGTTTCTTTATGCTGTTTAGAAAACGTCGTGCATGTTTCTTCACAAACTCTTAAACCATTGCTAACAAAAACCATTTAAATCTCGTCGCAAAGCAATAGTGGCAGCAACAGACCTCGTACTCTCCACGACTTCAGCTCTCTGAATTCTGATGTCGTCCTCCAGCACCGTCCTCGGGGCGAGTTCTTTCACAGTATAGTGCGAGTCCTTCATGAGAGGTAAAAGTTTTGTTGCACAGTGGGCAAGTTACCTTAGCTGCCCCGGTTTCCCTGGCAATCTCTTCGCGGATTTCCAGCACTTCCTCCGCAAGTTTCTTGTGTACGACTCTGAGATGAGTGTACAGATTTTTCTTCAGCATGACTTTTTTACATACTGAGCAGGTATGATAACTTGGTGAAGACATTTTGAATAATATCAGCGCGGTTTGAGCAGAGTGTGAGGTAAGTCACGCACCCAAAAGAAAAAGGGTAGCTGGAGATAGTGAGCTGGAGATGCGGATTACTAAATAGTCACACTTCTCTAACATTTTCTATCTGGGCCAGCAACATTTCCAGGCTTCTCGAGGACCTCCACAGGGTTCGCGTAGCAGTGTGCTTCGCGACTACCTATGGAAACCACGAAAAATACCTGAGTGGAATGGCTGTGCTGTTGTACACAGCACAGGATACATGTGATGATGAGGTGGACGGACGTCTTAGAACATGGGTTCGTGCGGATCCTATTCCATGAGGAAGAGGTACATAAAAACTAAAAGGAAAGACCAAAAAACTGCGGATGACAGAAACTTGAGGAGAAGGAAAAAAGGGAAAGGAAAAAGAAAAAAGCTGCCAAAATAACAATATGATGATGGCCAAAATGTTTTCGACACGCTCAAGTTTGACTCGCCGCTAAATCTACAATGGGAAAAATAGTTTAGCTGGATTTAAACCGCACTGAGTCTCTAGGAGATTCAAATTGGCCTTGGCTAACATACAAATAAAGAAAAAAGGCGAAGGTTGTGGAACATTCACAAGTAAAAATTCAAGAAAATGTGGGGAACTTACCTATGTGACAGCCGGCCTGATGGAATATGCAGGGCAAAACAGACAGAAAATACTAGAAAACTCACTACTCGAGATCAGCAGTAGTCAGCTTGAGTGGTTGAGTCGCAGCAGCAATGAAGTGTATATAATAGATCAGGAGAGATTACGGTTCTCGAAATATCGGGTCATTGCACACAGTGTGCCTGAGTTCAAAATTGCGCGCGCGGGAAATTCAAGCTGCTTCCAGCCGCTGGTGAAAAATAAACGCGTTCATAGTTTTCTAGCTTATATTGTAGTTTTTGGTACTATCGAACTATTCCTACCCCAGTCTGTCGGAATCGAGCCGATTTTTTATTGATTTTTTTTCTAAAGTGGCAGATTTGGATGGAAATTTGGTCACAGTGGTATTTTGACCTCCTGAACACAAATATCACATCCGGTTTGCCCGAAACTTTCCATCGATTTTGGTGATTCAGGGTGTTTTGGCGCTGCGCCACAGGCGCCGGAGTCGCAAAATACCTAAATCACCAAAATCGATGAAAACTTGTATACGGGGGTTATTTGACATCCTGTTTACGAATATGATATTTATTCTTGGCGCCAGCGCTAACGTAGGACACTATGGGTCCACTTGCGCGTTGACTAAGAGCTGAGACCTGGCTTGAGAGAATTCTTTCTTTTTCACAGTTTTGAGCCTCAGCGAGCGCTTAACTACCTTTGAATGCGAAAAAGCCAGTGCAGTCGATCACCCGGCTCGCCGCCGTGCTCCTCCATGCTTGCAGGGCCCGGCTATCGCGCGAGCCGATCCTGGGTTCGCCAGGCGCTCTTCCCTTGGGAGGAGTAAGATGCGCTAAATGTGCAAAATGATGACAGCAATTTATTTATTGAAATGCAGGAAAATGAATTGAACAAGTTCGAGCATCACCTTATATGTATACTCCTCATCATTACGGACTGTCGGGGCGGGTCAGTGCGGCTGCGTTTTCCGCGGTTCCAAAGTCTTTCTGCACCAGTTGTTGAAGCGATCAATGACATAACAGCATTATATCCTTCGTATTACTCGTTTTCTACCACTTTTTGTCGCATACGCGCTTCAAAGAAAAGGCTGAGAACGGCTTCAAACAGTGTGCGCACTCCTTCTGGCCGATACGCCCCGACAGTCCGTAATGAAGAGGAGTGTACATCCATATCGATGCCCCCTTGCTTACTGCGACTTCCAACGGTGAGAAGGCTAGCTAATATCATTAAGGACCGCAGTTGCGACAATAGAATATGGTAAAGTTGAATTAGCACGGATGAGCTCTTAACAACCGGAAGAGGCATAACTGCAGAGTAATGGGTGGTACTGAAAAGGAGAACTCCACAGTGCTTGTACATATAAAAGTTTGTGTCGCAGGGACACGGAAATCTCGTGTGACCACTGATGGGACGCTCCCACTCCCAGTTGTTGGTTTCCCCTCCTTATTTGTTTCATTTACAACCGCCACCTCCTAAC